AGGAATTTGCTGGGAACTGCCCTGAGGTAAATATTTCACTGGGAGTTAGGCATAAAGTCATACAGGAAGAATATCTCACTGGAAAAGAAGGACTGTGACAGCTGTACTCAAATGTCATTGTATTGTGCCACGGAAGCATCACCATCACTGGAATGTCAGAGGGATTTCCCCAAATGCTCAGAGATGTTATTTGAAAATAAAGTGAGTAGGGAAAGAATTAGATCATTCTGTGTTTCTAGTAATTTACCCTTTCAGTGTTAAGTGCCAGAAATCAAAATGTCTGAGTATTTCCTATAAATGTGATCATTGTTGTCATCACACCACCACCATCGTCAATACTTTTGCTATCAAACTGTAAGTCAGATTCTCCCTCATGAAGAACTTCCATGTCCAGTAAAGTTCATGTTATCTCAGTGCCTGTCTTAACAACAGGCAATGACTGAGTTGTTACAAAAATTATAGCTCAGGACACCTGAGTAGAGCAGTCAGTTAATCATCTAACACTTTTTTTTTATGTTTTATTTATTTCTGAGAGAGAGAGAGACAGCATGAACAGGGGAGGGTCAGAGACAGAGGGAGATACAGAATCTGAAACAGGCTCCAGGCTCTGAGCTAGCTGTCAGCACACAAAGCCTGACATGGGGCTCAAACCCATGAACCATGAGATCATGACCTGAGCCGAAGTCAGACACTTAACCGACTGAGCCACCCAGGCTCCCCAGTCATCTGACTCTTGATCTGGGCTCAGGTACTGATCTAATGGGTTCATGAGTTCAAATCCCACATCGGGCTTTGTGCTAAAAGTGCAGACCCTGCTTGGGATTCGGTCTCTCTATCTCTCTGCCCTTCCCCCACTTGTGCATGTGTGCATGCTTGCTCGCTCACTCTCTCAGAATAAATAAGTAAACTTAAAAAAAGAAAAGAAAAACTTAGCCCCATAGTAATTTTTTCTTTGCTATGCAGATAACACATGCTAAGGTAATACTGTACTTCCAGGAGCCTGAAACCCTAAACATGTGTATAGTAAAATGTGCCAAAGTGACTGATCAGTGATTTATTACAACAAATAATAGGTAAACGTTGAATAAAAGCCCATTGCATACTGTGTGCTGTGGCAACTCTAGCAGGGAATGCATGACGTGTGCTGGGTACACAATATCATATCCTTGTGAACAGTGCAAACTGGCGAGCACGAGCCTGAGTGGATAAGGGCAGTCACTTCAGACCCTCAGACCTCTCTTGCTTTACACACTGGCCTTTTCTCTAATTCTTGTTGCATTTTATGGCACCTGCTTCTTTTCTTTCCTCCAGCTCACTGCTCCTTGAGGGCACAGATCAGATTGTATCAATATCAAAGTGTATCCTATTTCTTCTTTTTACAAAAAAAAAAAATTTAAGCTTATTTATTTATTTTTGAGAGAGAGAGAATCCCAAGCAGGCTTCACACTGTCAGCACAGAGCCTGACTTGGGGCTCAAACCCACAAACCTGAGCCAAAATCAAGAGCCGAACACTTAACCAACTGAGCCACCCAGGTATCTCAGCCTATTTCTTTTATATATATTTTTAATGTTTATTTATTTATTTTTGAGAGAGACAGAAAGAGAGGGAAAAAACCCAAGCAGGGGAAGGGCAGAGAAAGAGGGAGACAGAATCTGAAACAGGCCCTTGAACCAGGGCTTGAACCCATGAACCATGAGATCACAACCTGAGCCGAAGTAAGATGCTTAACTGACTGTGCCACCCAACCACCCCAGCCTGTTTCTAAGCAGGCGAACTAAAACACAAAACTTCTCCAACTTGAATGTGCTTCAGAATCATGAGAGGATTCTGGCCAACCCTTCACCCACCAGCTTTCTGCGTCAAACCATATAGGATCAGGCCCTGTATGCATTTTAACAAACCACATCCCCTACTGTCCCTGTCAATGATTCTGATCCAGTTGGTCAAAAGAACACTTTAAATCGATAAGCCTAAGGGTATAAGCCTAGAGCACATGCTTTGGACCAGCTACAGCTAGCTTTTATCCCCTCCTATACTGGACACAGGGCAGGCATATATAAGTTTCATAAGTTCCTTGTGCCCTAGTTCCCTCAGTTGTAAAATGAGGATAGATATGAAACTTAACAGAAATGAAATAGAATGGTGGCTGCCGGAGATGGGATTAAGTTGTTTAATGGGGACAGAGTTTCAGTTCTGCAGGATGAAAAATTTCTGGAGATCTGATGCACAGCAATGCAAATATACTTAACACTGCTAAAGTGTACATTTAAAAATGGTTAAGGTGATAAATTTTATGTTATGTGTGGTTTACGACAATTAAAAAGAAAAAAATTTTTAATGGGGTTGCATAATAATATCGACCTCACACTGTTGTTATGAGCAGTACCTGAAATAAAGCATGTCAAGTCTCTGGCACAGTCTCTGATCTAGCAACTGCTTGAAAAATTACAGCTGTTATTATGTTGGAGTCGTTAAGGTGGTTAACTATGAATAAGCTACTCTATAAAGGTATTTTAAACCAAATGAGAGTCTGAATCTTCAAGCTGATGGAGGTTCTCTATACTTTTTGTTTTTTTTTTTTTTAAATGTTTTATTTATTTTTAGGAGAGAGAGAGAGAGAGAGACAGCGTGAGCAGGGGAGGGTCAGAGAGAGAGGGAGTCACAGACTGAAACAGGCTCCAGGCTCTGAGCTGGCAGTCAGCACAGAGCCTGACGCGGGGCTCGAACCCACGAACCGTGAGATCATGACCCAAGCGAAAGTCGGACGCTTAACCGACTAAGCCACCCAGGCGCCCCGGTTCTCTATACTTTTTGAAATAGTGTGCTAATTTCTCAGGAAAGCACCAAGCTGGGAATTGGAAGCTTATCTATAATCATTCATTAAGGACTGTTTCAAACCCTCCCACAGATCCAAGTACCTTTTGACAAACTGCATTTTTCCAAATCCTGACCAACAGACCATTCACATTTCACATGCAGAGCCTTATATTTCAAAAAGCCAATCATATTGTAGGTCGATATGCAAAAGGAGGAGAATATTCATATTAGGCAAGCTAATTCTTAATACTAAAATCCTCAATTTGCAGAGACGAAGGAAACAAAGCACAAAAATGTTGAACTTTGTTTTTCAGCTTAAGCTTAATGAAGTCAAGCAAAATCTGCCGCTGTAAAAGAAATGATCTCCATGAAATACTTTGCATCTTTGATGTGCGTGCGGAACCCAAACAGATTTGGGAAACATGGCATAAGCCCAAGGCCGTCATTTTGATTCTCTGTGCATCGTTTTGATTTCATGTGCATCTATTCTAATTTCATCTCTCCAGCCTATTATTTAAACCTTAGCAGGACAGATGTGCTGTTTTACAGGGCCATAATCCACTTGGTGGGCGGATAACCAGGAGGCCTTTGGTCTTCATCATTTACTCCAATGAGAAAACTAGACTATTGCCTTGTAAATCAGCATGAGGCCCACACCCTGATTTCACATGCTATCCTAACTCACGGAACATCCTTTGGAACTTCTAACTGAATTCATACAATTCATCACAGTCACAGAGATGACCAAAATTAGCTCTAGGCTGAATGAAATTAGGCAAAAGTCAGTCTGGAGATATAAATAGTAAAAATGAGAGGGTTGGAAAATGACTTCAGGTACAGGATTTGAGGCCAACACAGGTGTTCCTAGGAATCGTATTCCAAGGCTGAGAAGGTTAGGTACCACTGGTTAAACCTCTAATCCCAGTGGCTTTTGAATCTCTCTTGATTGAAAACTAAATTCCAAAGTCATTGCAAAGGATCTCCTGCCACTTTTTAAAATCTCCATCCTACGTGTAACTCTTGTCATTAGGGTAGATAAGGGTTTCCAGAGAGACCAGAAGAGTTATTCCAGAACTCCTACATAATGACAACATTGACTATTGAGAGGTGGTACTTATGAAATCCAGAAACGGATGGCAGTATATGCAGATGGACCATCAGCAAGGACTATTGTTGCTCCAGTCCACCAGCATCCTTGCCAACAGGTGGAAGGAAGGAGACTTAAGAACTTGAGTTGTGATTGTAAATGGCAAAAAGAAGTGATTAAAAGAATATAAGTAGCCAGACATTAACTTCAGATTCGGGGCTTACTGCCTTCTGTCCATTTAATCTTTCTTTGTCTGGTGCAATAGAGACTTCCTCACTACCTTAATATGGGGGTCTCTGATAAAGGCTTGAGGTTATGATAACCCAAGTATTAGCTCCAGATCTAATTTTTGACCTCGACCTTGGAAAATCACTTCCCTACTCTGGTCCTCATTAGAACAGGACCTAGACCACATGACACGTTCAATAAGTATTTGCAAAAGTTTAAAAGAAAATGTATCCGAAAAAATGGGGATAAACCAGGAGATCTCAGAGATTCTTTCCAGACTCACCATTCAATAGACCTGTGACTTCTTTGTTACAGGCTCATGTCTCTTGTCATTCTAGTCCTCTCCTGCGTGTGTGTACCAACAGAGAGGTCTCTTTTTATTCAGTGCAACCCTACCTTACATTTTCTCATCACATGATACTGTTACCCCTCAATTATGTTACAAGAACCAAGCGTTTTGCCACTAACCTGTTCATATAGTTATTTTTTCAAACAGCATTTGGTTACCAGAGCACTTTACTATTTTTAAAGTTCTATGCAGTATTTCAAAACTATATAAGGAAGTGTTTGCATTTTCCTTCCATAGTTTTCTGCCCAATTTCAAGAGTTAAATGAACAGTTTCAAATACCTTGTGTGTGATGCTTTCCCCCTCCATTAAAATGCTGAAGGGTTCCCCCCCCCCCTCTTTAGAAGGAAAAAAGAAATCTTTCCCCTGTAATTTACTTTGGCTTTCTCAAAAGTTGGGTGGGAAAGTCAATATAATTCAGGTGGAATCTAAAATGTTCTTGTTGTACAAGTGTGCCCAGAAAGGAAGCCTATAATTTCTGAACATTCTTTTAGGAAGTTTGTATTCTCTGTTTTCCAGGGAGCCTTTACTTTCCAAGGGAGTATGATCGACATGCCATTACTGAAGCAAGCCCAGAACATTGTTACGCTTGCCACATCCATCAAGGAAAAATGATCTGTTAAATGAAGCTCTCATCAGGTGGGCTGAACATATACAGTGGGTTTCTTAAAGACAAACCGTAATACTCAAGGCAACTTGTTAGTATGCCAGATTGGAACCTTTCTCCATTTACAGTTCATGGTAATCACAATTTTTTGTTGTTGTTGCTGTTATCTCACTGGCCAGTTATTCGTCTAAAAATGAACTTTCTTCTTTTTGGTTCCAAGCTTATGATTTTATTGCTCATGAATGTGTTGCACATATGCACTTATGATTTCACAGGGAGATAAAATCGTGTGGAGAGATAGGCTGAGGGGATATTAGGTCTTTAATGAAACAGATCTTTCCCGAATACGTATACTCCCTTCACATTTCTCACATTAGATGTTTCCCATGTCGGTCATTTGTTCACTCAACACTGTAAATAATTTTAAGGCTAGTCTTAAAAAAAATTGGTAACTACCCGAAGGGGTTGTGTTTATCTCTTAGAAATCTGATAAAACAAGAGATGGCATAGCAAAGTATCGTGTTTGTTCAAACAGATACCTTGTAAAAAATAAATCTTCAAAACTCTTAACCTCCACCTCCCCAGATGAAACACCCATACATCTGGGCTCTAGGTAAGGACTATGAAAGCCTTCATCCTGGGTGAATGCTTTGGGTCAGCAGTGACCAGCAATTAAAAATGTGCAGAAACACAAGACCATCCATTCTCTCCCTTAATTTCCCCATTTAACTGTTTGCCATTGAGGCCATTCCCCCCTGCAAATGTATGGCCGGGACGGGCCCCCTCAGCAATAAACTTGTAGCCTCTAAGAAGACACAATGGGGCAGATCTGGTGCATATGGTCCCCTGTGAGATTTGCATCACATTAGGGATGCTGCTGCAGGTCATATGGGTGGTGTGGTTAACGGGCTTAGTAAAGCTGTTTTGAAGAGGTTAACCCAGCTTGTAGTAAGGGTAAATAAACATAACAACCAGCCATTCTTCCCTATTCAGCATGTGCTCTTATATTGAAGGCTAAAGGGTATTGAAGCTGGGAAGGATCAACTTGTGTTTGCCAGAGGACGCCAATGAAATTTGAAACACCAACAATCAGAGATTTTGTTTCTGCTCCTCATTAAATCATGAGCTTTTGTGTTGAGACTCTGGATGACTGTTCTTTAAGAAATTAACAGAATGGGAAGTTTTAAACTCTACACCAACCTTTTCATGACCTACACAGCAGCAAAGCTGCTACTCTTAGACAAACACCGCGGGGAAGGCTGTTCTGTTTATTTAAATTTGTAAATAGAAAACAGTTTTTGATTTTCATTTTTCACCTCCTCCTACACCCTTGTTGTTTATTTCCTCTGTGGCCCCTACTGTATGCCCCACCCGGGGGTCTTTTGCCCCTGCTCTTCCAGCTCCTACAGGAAGCCCCAGAGGGAAGTAGAGTTGAAAGTTATATCCAAGGAAGGGCACCATGGAACCTAAGCAAAGCGAGAGGCCCACACACCATCTCGCATCACCCGCCACCCAGTGCACTGCAGGAAGTGGGTTCTTCGGTTCTGACAGGCATGCAGAAGGAGCCTGATCCAGGCAGGAAGGCTCCGGGGAAACACATTCTTAAAACACCAACTAAAAATCCCAAATTTGGGACCTGAGAAGACAGACTTGAACTGAGTGAGTTGGGACGTGTGTGCTAGGCTGGGGTTCTGACCTGTGCTGGGCAGTGCGTCTCCTCTCCTCGGTGCACCCCTCCCTCCAGCCCCTCCTGGGAGCGTTGTTACCCTTCACCTCAGTCATCCTGTGCTGCCCGAGCATTAGCTGGAAAGAAAGGGAGGCTCGAGCCCCATCCTCCCGTGGAGGGGCCGGAAGGAGAAAGATGGCATCTCAGCCAAGTTGGGAGATGACTGGCGTCCAGCCAAACCGGGCTTCAGGCCTGCGGACAGAGACAGTGGGCAGAGTGACCCGGCGGCGGCACCCATCAGTGTGCTGCAGCCGCGCCGGCCTAGGCTGGTAGTCAGGTGCGTGCGCACCAGGGAGGTCGGGGACCACGGCCCGCGTCGGCCCCTCCGCTCAGAACACAGAGACACAGGACTGCTCAGAAGGCGGAAGGCAAGGGGAGACCTCCTCTCATCCTGACCTGTTGCACACACACACCTCCTCCCGGTGTTAGAACTGCCTCAAACAAAAGGGGAAAATAAAAGCCTCCCTTCAGGCTTCCCTACAGGCAGCCCCCACTTCAACCCAACTGCCCTTCCCGTCCACCTGTGTTGGTGCAGATAGTCAGTCTGGACTTTGACAGGATGAAAGGGCAGACATTCTACTCTCCACCCCAGTTACACAGGCAACCCCCAGACTACAGGTTGGCCTCTTCAGGCCGGGGGCTCAAGAGAGCCAAGCCCTCCTTCTCAGGGGACCTCAGGTGCCGGGGTGAAGGCATCCGGACCTTGGGAAAAGCAGTCCCCTCAGCAAGGTCTGGACACCGCTAGGACTCCCCAACTCCATCACCAACAGCCCCATGGATTCCTAGGTCCCCCGACCATGTGAGACTGGTCACCACACCCTTTACCCGACACCCAAATGTCACATTTATCATCTCCCTCATAACCCTATGGCCTGATTACGGTAGGATCGTGAGACTAGGACCCACCTGAGCCAGTCTTGAGAGAAGTCTGCACCAAGGTCCTGCTCTGAGCAGAAACCCTAATGAGAGCCCCAGAAGAGGTTTTCGTCGGGGTCAGAGATCTTGGGGAGTTCCTCCAGCTAGGAATGGACTACAAGAAGAGGACCTTGCAGCAATCTGATTAATTAAAAACCATACCTGTTTATGTTTTGTGTAGCTCATCACAAGCCGCTTTGCCATATCACCCCCTTGTTATTAATTCTTGGGGGCTAAATTATGGGTAACACTATTAAAACATTATCAGAACTAATGAGAAACAATTACTTAGAAAATGAGCCAGGACAAGATTGAGTTGAGAACATCAGTGGTGATCACCGTAGATTAGTTTAATAAATCATCAGGTGCAAGGCAGGGCTGACTGTATGTATGCAAAGCCCTGTCACGGGAAAATGAAATTGAGATTTTTTTTGCATAATTTTTTCATTAATCTCAATAGGACCCGTGTGGTGTAGATTGTTTTATTCCCCTAATACCTTGCCCGAGGGGGGGTGCCCAATAATGTCTTCATTGTTTTACTGAGGTCTTAATGACAATCTGTGACAACCTCATTTTAATGTATAGAGGATTATATCAGTACAATCATGTTTTATTGAAATGGTGAGGGAAACTCGGGTGGGGTCAGGCACTGTCTGTTAGCACAAGTTGGGAATTTCCCGGGCATCTGGGTTCAGTTCCCTTCAAATGACCAGGTATTGAGCCACTGGCTGTCCTTAGGTCATCTCCTCTGGGGGACTGGCTGGGAAGAGCTTCCTCAAGAAGACTTCACCACCTCCTATTTGAATTTGAAAGTAGCTGGTAGCTCGGTATATTTTGCTGGGTAAATGCAACAGACCATGTAGGATTTTTTTCCTTTCCTAAAATATACCTGACATTACTATCCTTAACATTAGCCCTTAATACTTCTGCTTTAATTCGGGAAAATGACCTTCACTGGAAACGTTAGGTTTTCCAACGATGCCTTAAGAGGATAAAGAAGAATACATGCTTTTTAACTTGAAGGATATTCTTTCTGGCTTTATGGTTTCCACTAATCTTGAAAAGCCAGATGTCTTCCGTTTTTGTTTTTGTTTTTGTTTTTTACTTCTAGTTTGGAAGGCAATTGATGGTACAAAACAGGTTATAAGACTACCAGCAGGATCTTGTGCATATTAATGCCGGCGAAGGGCACCGAACCGGTCTGTCTGAACCAGTCTGTCAATGCAGAGTTTACGAACAGGCCCCGGGACGGGACTCGGTCCTTCCAGCCCAGAGACCCTCCCCCAGCGAGGTGTCTGCATTGCAATTTAGGGGGAAAGTGCAGGAAAGTAATTAACAGAGCTCAACATTTCAATGTTAAAATTTCAATCTTCCTTTCCGCGCTTTATTTTAAATCGGGATAATGGGGATGGGGGTTGGCGCTAACAGCTCACAGAATGGGAAATAAATTACTTTAAAATGCCTAACTTAGTACCTGAAATCTTGCGCGGTGATACCGGGCAGCTTTTTGCTGCCTTGGGACGGGACGGTGGCTGTTGTGGGTGGTAGTTTGTTTACATTCCAGCAGTTATGTGGCAGCATATTTCCTTCCGAATCGGTTAAGAATTGCCAAAAGACAAAAAGAAAGTGATGTGTACGAAGGGAACTGAAATCGTCGTTGGCGCCTTTTGTGGTCGTTTGCTGTCGATCGGACTCCGTTGCAGCTAAGCAGACTGAAGCCTGCAGAATTTTTTACTTAAATTTTTCTTCTTCTTCTTCTTCTTTTTTTTTTTACAAGCCTTGCAAAAGACCAGGGATTTGTCGCTCGAGCCCTTCGTTTTTTAATTTTTAATTTTTGTAAGTGAACGGCACGGTTTTACTGTTTGCTTTTTCCGACGGGAAAGGCTCCGTGAGCCCGGGCAGCGCGCCCCGTCGGAAGGACGCGGGGCCGGGACACCCGGAGTCGCGTCCCCCGCCGCCCGCGCTTCCCGAGGACGGAGGTCGGCGGCCGGCGCGCGGGGGCACCTGGCCGCGGCCGCGGGCGGCCGCCGTCCCTTCCCCGCGGGGCGCGGGCTGGGCCGGGGGAGCCCGTGGGCCGGGGCTGCGGGCCCCGCTCTCCCGCCCGCCCGCCGCGGGCTGCCCGGGGCCCGCGAGCCTGTCGCGCAGCCCCGCTGTAATGGTGGCAGATCAAAGGCTGCCCCGTGTCCCCGCGGAGCCCGGGACAATCCCGCGCCTTTGTGCGTTGTTGCTAGGAGCCGGAGAAACTAAGGGAAAGTGTCAGGAGCATGTTAATCAGACTCGTTACAGTGTAACAATAACGTCTCTCTCGGGTCTCCCAGGCCCGCAGCACCCCTGGAGCACCCCGCGCGCAAGACCGACACCTGCGCGGGGCCCTCGCGCCCGCCCTGGGGACCGGCCGGCCCCTGAGTCACTCCAGCCCCAAAGGCCGCGCCTGCGCCGCGCGCAAGGACAAGTCGTAGGGGTCCTGCAAGCGCCGGGCGCATCTCCTGGGCCCAGATCCCCTTGACCAGAGACCCGCGCCCTTAGTGTGTCGGGCTCAGGTCCGATCCATGGCCAGAGGGACCTGCGGAGAAATCGGGTCCTCGTGCTTTTCAGTCATTGAGTTGAATTTTCCATGTTTGATTCAAACACGGTGTTAGAATCAAAAGCAAAATGAACATTACGTTTAGATTGCTTTTTGGTTGAGTTTCTTCAAAAGACTCTAAAACCAGCTTTGCTGATTTCCCTCTCAAATCCGTAGAGGATACTGGAAGTGATAATCCCGAGTTTAACCAAAAAAAAAAAAAAAAAAAAACTTTCTTGAAAGTACAGATTTCTCTGAGCTTTTTTTGAGAAAATAACTTCATTCATTTGTTTATTCATTCAACAAACATCTGTTGACCCTGACTGGGTGCCAAACAGCCAGCTAGTATGAAAGTCCTAGGACTGGTTCCGGATGCACTTTTCTTTGAAAATTAAAACGCTCTTGTGTGAAGTCAAAGGAAGAGCAAAGGCGTAAAATAATGTCAAATGCCGAAACAAAAAGTGCCATTGACTGCAGTAGTGATAGAAACGAGAGAGGTGCGGATTAAGAATCTAAAACATCTGAAAAACTACACACCATATGCTTGGAAGACCAGTCACTTTTTTCACCTATTTTATCTCCTCCTCCCCACCTCTTTTAGTCTTTAGGAGCTCAGCCAGCTCTGCGGTCCTGAAGCCGGGAGGCCTGCCTAAGGTCTGAGGAGTGAAGTCAGTTTGTAAACAGCCTGTCAAACTTGCCAAAGGAACACTCAATCTTGTCCCATTTTCCCGTTGGCTGTCCGTGCACAGGGAATTGGAAAGCTGTGCTCAGGCTTAGGACAGAATGTGGCCAACTGGAGGTGCCTTCCTCTGGTATCTGCTCTTGTTCAGGGACCTAGGAAGTTCCCTTGGTTTAACTGCTGAACCCTCAGTCAAAGACAAAGCTTTCTATTTATCAGAGAGGGTAGAAAACTCACTCTCGAATCACCTGTGCC